AACTGACATTTTAGTAATTGAATACTCCCAGGGGGAGATAAGGCCTAATGCAGCAGAAGGACTTTACCAACAGTTAATGAGGGATTTGGCTCATATTGTCTCCCCTTCTGACACTGTGGGATTTTGTCAAAATCCTTCCCCGCCCCCACCACCCCACCCTCCCCACTCTCACCGCATCCTCCTTCCCATTCCCACCACCTTCCGTCAACCATCTACCCCCCCCCCTCTTTTCCCTATTTCGTCCTTCCTCAATATTTGTGACTGACGATACTAAGCTATCTATAGAAACGAATCGCTGGCAAATCAGAAAGCAAAAACATACTCAGGAGAGAAAAAAAGTTGTCCATTCACATTAAATGCAGTACCTAAATTATATACTATCTTTCCTAGATTTTTATCAACATTTAGAGTTTGAATTTCGGCAAATTATTTCTAAATTACGCTCAACCGATACCACACATTAAGAAACTTCTATTAAAAAAAGCAAAAACCAAAATTACCCCCCCCCCCCCAAAAAAAAACCACAACAAAAAACAACCAAAAAATGTTTTGGGCATAGTCCGTAATTTGTATGGGATAGAGCGCTCTTTAAATACAATCCGTTATTGTTTTTATTATAATTATTATAATTATTACTATTATAATAATAATAATTATTATTATTATTATTATTATTATTATTATTATTTGAACAGCTGACAGAGGAAATGAGTACTGGGATTTCCCAAGTGCAGTGAGACTGATAGTTTTGCGTGCCTTGAGAGTTGTGACAAAGTGTGAGCGAAATGCGCTGTCAACTTTTACCTCATTCTCCCTTCCCGAATCTACGTACAGTTTCAGGTTTAAAAGACGAATGAGTAAACTATACAACAACTGCAACAACATTACAACAAACATATCTTAAGAACCCCCCCCCCCTTACCCCCTCTCCTCCAACCCAAAAAGACCGAGAGAAAAAAAGTCTTCAGACGGTGAAAGTAATTTATGAACTTGTATAAGTTTAGTGCTCATTTTAACACTGTACGGTCATTTAAGAGGGGGGAGAGAGAGAGAGAGAGAGAGAGAGAGAGAGAGAGAGAGAGAGAGAGAGAGAGAGAGAGAGAGACA